TGAGTTCGAGGCCAGCCTGGGCTACCAAGTGAGTTCCAGGAAAGGCGCAAAGCTACACAGAGAAACCCTGTCTCGAAAAACCAAAAAAAAAAATATTTTAAAAAAATCAACAGTCATCACTATTATTCACCAGTCTAGTTTCCCTTATTTTTTTGGGGGGCGGGGGGCTTGTTTTGGTTTTTGTGAGAAAGGGTCTCTCTACATAGCCTAAGTCACCATGTTGACCACGCTGGCCTCAAGCTCACAGAGATCTGCCTGAGTCTCCTTAGCTTTAATAACAAGCCACGGAGGCTCCAAAAGCTTAAGTGGTCTCAGCATTCATTACCGAACAACCTTGGCACTTTCCCAGGATGACGGGAAGTGACTCATTGATGACGGGACTCAGGTAAGACTGGAAATAAAGCCGGTAACTGAGTTCAGACCCTTTGGCTTCGGTTCTCTGGTGAGGAGTACACAGACAGACGCACCCCTCCCTGCACAGTTCTTTGGGAATGGGATTACGGACAGCTCTACCCTCAGCCCCGCCCCCAGCAGCAGCCAGTTGACAATATTGACTTATGCAACCACCACACTATCAACTTTTCCCATTTGGCCCAGGGGAAGCCTGGGAGCATGGGATGAAAGAGAAAGGAGCTTAGGCTGAGCCCATGGTACTGCAGACCTAGCCAAAGGGGTGCCTTGGTGGATGTGGGGGTGGGGTGCGGCTGGCGAAGCCCTGGCACAGGGTTGTGTTCTTCTCTCCAGGTGAGCTTCCAGTCTCACCCAGAGACTTCTGGGTTTAGGGCCAGCACAAGCCAGCTGGCTAAAGCCAGTGCTACTGGAATTTCTGTTGCCCAGGACATAAGGAATTGGGTTACTCCGGCCTGGGGGTGGGTGGGTCAGTGGTTAAGCAGCTGACCCTCCTACCTCACGAGGCAGCTCTCTCTTTCAGCTGGATTAAAAACCTTTGTCTTCAGAGAATTCTCTGGCTCTGGGCTTTTGTGCATTTGATTGGAGCCGCCTCTCCCTGGTCCTCAAATTTCAGGTAAGGCAGCTGGTGTGTAACTAAGGGATAAGCGCAGAGGGAAACACAAACCTTCCATTACTTATGGGAAGCCAGGTAGGTAGGTCCGGGCCCATAAACAGCAAAGAAGTACAAAATGAATCGAAGAAGAGAGAACGTGAACGATTATGACTCCCAAGAGGCTGCTCCCCATGTTTAGAAAGCACGAACCAACCGCTCAACATCCCGTCGCTTTGTATTTGCCGTTTTATTTAGAACACACGTTTATGGTTATCGGTAGCCACCGAAGAGCTGCGTCCCTTAAACAGCTAGCCTCTTGTTGGAAGTGTTCTTCTCCGAGGGCAAAGCGTCTTGGTGTTATTACCCAAGTCCCTCCTCCAGTCAGACTGCCGGCGATACCGCAGCCTTTGTGTGCAGAAACCCAGAAACACTGAACATTGTCCTTCGGAGTCATCCTAGCCCTGGGGGATTTGTTGGCCTAGATACAGTGTTTCTGGATTACAGGGGATCCAGGGCTCGGAATTGCAGGGTGTGTAAGGAAAAAATGCTGAGACTGTTTGGTTTTAGCCAGGGAGCGTGGAGTTAGTCTCCAGCGAACTGATTTGGCTACACACGGACAAAAACCAGGGTAGAAGAATAATTATTAGAACAATACATGCACACGGTTTCGGGGCTAGCAAGCTCACGCCCAAGCAATCGTTCACGCATGCACAGCTTCCATCCTTCACAGACAGCCACCTTCCACTGTTCTCACTAATGATTCTTGCACTGGGTCCACACTTTTACAATAACATGCACGTGTTGTGGTCTACCAATTACAGAGGAGGCTGTGCGTACGTAGTCTTACTCCCACCCCATCCTCCACAATATCTACAGAAAATTCCGCAACAACTCATATTTTGCTTTTTTTTTTTTTTTGCTATTATCTATTATGGTTAAGCAGTTTGCATTTTTGTAAATGTTTGTTTTTACTGTTGTTGTCGCTTTTTCTGTTTCCTGTAGCTGTTGGGACACTGTCATGAGTTGTAGCTAATGTTTAGGTTCATGATCAGAAGTCACCGAGTGCTTTGGTCAATGGGTGTCTCCATTCTCTACATCTCGTCTGGAAACGTGTTCATGCAGCTTGGTTCCCCGAGGTGCCTGTCCAATTCACAAAATGTGAGGCCCTTTCAGAGTCCAGATTTTTAAGGAGGAGTTGGTAATAGCAAGAAGAGAAAGCATGCTTGGTGAGAGAGCAGATGGGTAAAGGAGCTTGCTACTGAGCTTCGGGACTTGA